GGGTGCCTTTTGGGGGTGATCACGTCGTGCATGAGGGCGAGGCGGGGGGGGGGGGCGGTCATCAGGGGGCTGCGCGGCAAGCTGGGGTGCGCTTCGCTCTGCCCCCAGCTGCCTGGCAGGGTCGCGGGCGCCTGGGCCGCTGCGTTGCAAGTCGCAAGAGCCGGCGGAAGCGGCCGCCTGTGGGGGCCTTCATTCTCGGGCTCCCACCCGAGCGTGAGACGGAGACCACCTCCAGACCCATCTTCAGAGCCTCTTCGCACACCACGCTGCCCACGTAGCCGCGACCGCCAAAAACGACAACCGTCGGTGGGCGGCTGGGCTCGGGCTGTTGGGTGACGGCCAGTGCAGTACAGAGGTTGGGACGCTATTCTTTGCATAGTAGAAGGTCCCAACACAGGTTGCTTGGATATTTGGCCATGCACATTGAACGGTTATGTTGTGGGCATGATGCTGCGCCTCAGCCCCATGCAATGGCTGCAGTGCACACTCGACGCACGGCACCCACCTCAGGCTTTGCCGTGGCGCTGGGGCCTGATGCAGCGCCAGATCCACCCGCCGAGTCTGATACATAGCTGCGCGCCAGAAGGTGACCGCCTCTGCGCTCATAGCGGTCAGGTGCGCGCACCGTGAGATCGCATCCCTAGGGCTCGCAACCGCAAGCGCAGTTCTCGTCATCACAAGCTTACTAACCTCAAACATATTCCAGACGCGAGCTGCATAGCCGCTTGCGCGGTCTTGGGGCCCAGCATGGCCAGCATAGTGAGCGCGAATGCGACTTTCAGGCTTGGGATCGTGCTTAGGGTCGCGAAAGCAACAACTTGTGACGTGAAATCGGGATATAGCCTCAACACTTGAGTCGCACCCAGCCATTTGCCCCTTGGACCAGCCGGCTGCCCATGAGCCCAGGCGTCCGTCAACTGGTTGCATCCCCTGCTTGATTCTGATGCCACAGCACCTGGATATAGCTCCTCTCATCATGTTGCATTGATCCTGTTACTTGACTATCAAAATCAGGGGTGTACATGCGTTGTAGCTGCTCCAAAGCTCGCATGCATCAATATGTACAATCGAGGGGGTCACTTGAAGCACAGCCGGCGCCCTGCCGACCGCCCGCGACCTGCCCCACAGGCAGAGATGGGTGCGGGCGGCACCCTCTCCGCCATCCTGCTGCTGCTGCCGCCGCGAAGGCCGGGGCGCGGCCACCGACCCTGGGCTCCAGCCCGCGGCTGGAGCCCTTATGGCGGCTCACGCCGCGCCCTCGCCCTTGCGGGAGAGGTCGCTTGTCGCCCCTCAAGAGGCCTCCTCTGTGATCTTCGCCGACTCCTCAAAGTTCTCCACCAGGTCTGGGACGTCGTCTGTTGCAAGGCGGAGAGGCGCGTAAGGTCGAACCCGCAGTCAGCACTACAGCATGAGGCGCGCGTGCGTCATCGCGATGCTTGCTGCTTCGGACTTGAGCAGACTGCCCGACATGCGGCTGCGGCGGTGGCCCCGGGCTGTGTCGGCTATGCATCCACTGCCGACTGCCAACACATGCAACAGCAGCCCGTATGTCCTGCTCCCAGCCTGCGCCACGAATGTCGCTCTGCCCGAGGGGCCCCTCACCGTCCTCCTCTGCAGGCCCGCCGAGGCCCGCGCCGCCGCCCATCTGCGCAGCACGCGGTACGAGAGGCAGCATATCAGAAGTCTTCAGTCTAGATACATTCCACAGCCGCACACCCGTTGGTGACGCTGTGCTGTGCGCTCTGCAACCTGCCTGTACAAGCGCAGCCGCCTCGCGCCCCCTCCCCCCAGCCAGGAAGGGCGAGCAGCCAGGACTGCCACCACAACAGCCTTCGCGGCAGCGTTCCCAAAGCAGCGTCGCTCGTGGCAGACACGGCGGCCGGCCACCCCGCCCTGCCGCCGCAGTCGCAACCGGCTGCGAATGTGCGCGCCCACAACCCCTCGCACCTGCTGCGCCATCTTCTGCAGCGCAGCCATGTCGGGCAGGCCGCCTGGCAGGCCGCCCTGCATCTGCATCTGCGCCAGCATCTGCTGCAGGTTCGGGGGAATCATTTCTGCATACAAGGGGGGGGGAGGGCCGGAGCAGGGAGCGGGGTCTTCAACTGGCGGTAGACGGCTGGTGCGTCACCAAGTCATGCATGAGCCGCTGACACGGCCAGCAGGACTCTCATTCCAAGCTGGCCGACGCATGCTGCTGCAACTGCCCCTTGCGAGGCGCTTTCGCCGCGCCTCGCCGGCGCAAGCGCACCCGCCACGCTCTTGGTCTGCGAGGGGCCGCTGACCACGTAGGTGTTGGCCGCGATGGAGGCTTGCACTGCGTAGGGGAAGGGGGGCACGCGGAGCGCGGCACAGGTGGCGGCGTCAGAGTTTCCCTTTGCCGAGACAAGGAATTTCAGTGGGCTCGCTCGGCTCTAGATGGCGCCCAGCCTCGCCAAACGCAGCCGCATGCCTCCTGCCATGCGCCCAACACGTCCACCCTGTCGCGGCGCCGCCGCCACCGCCATGCATACCCTTGGGGTTGACAAAATGGATGACGGAGTCGCCCTGGAAGATGTTGACCTCCTCAATGCCAGGGATGGTATTGACACCCAGCCGCTTGAGCGTGCTCTGCAGGCGCTTGTCATCGGTCGTTGCAGTCTTGTGCACCGCCTTCTTCTTCCTGCGCGCCCACAGTCGTGTAGGCGTTCAGCTTTCGCCACATTTCTTTGCACGTCGTCTGCGCTTCATGGCTGCTGTACCCCTGCCTGCCGGAGACAGAGGCCGCCCAGATCACCCGAAAGCCTCACCGACGCATCGTGCCCTTGCCGCCGGTGCGGACGGCCGAGGCCAGCTTTGCCAACTTCTCACGATCCATGGCTGCTGCTGTGCCCACGAAGGGCGCCACGTCTTCGGCTGAGGACGCCGCCTGTGATGCTGCGAGAAGGGAATCCTCAGACAATCAATGGTGTATAGAGAGCATCGATGTGCGATGGGCTCGCCTCGCTCGGCGTTCTTGGCCCCAGGTCGAAGTCGAGGGGCTGGTGGGTGCGTTGGAGTGACAGCAGCAGCTCACACACATGGGCGAAGACGCGCTCATCGACCAGGCACATATATACAATTTTTACTCTCCAAAAACCAGTTAAAATGCGCCAGCAGATCGTCACGCGGCTCGCGCGTGCGCTTGCACAGCGCAATGGGGCTGGGCAATGGAGCCAAACGCGCCAGTTGAGCGCTGCCAGCCCGGATCCCGTATTTTCAGAGCCCGCGAGTGCTCCCGTAGCCAGCAAGGACGGCAAGGTGCTCCACCCCGATTTGCTGAACGAGAACATGCGCAAGACGCAGTATGCGGTGCGTGGCGAGCTCTACCTCAAGGCGGAGGAGCTCAAGAACGCTGGAAAACCCATTATCTTCACCAACGGTGTGTTATGCACGCAGTAGTAGGGAGGCGGCGGCGGCGGCGCGATTGCAGACCTACCATCGCGCACGCTTCCCCGAACGGCCGCTCATTGCTCTGTTGCTGGCTTCGCAACGCAGTTGGCAACCCGCACAACCTGGGAGCCAAGCCCATCACGTTCACACGCCAGGTGTGTGACGCAGCACTTTGATAAGCTGGTCTTTCGCTGGCTTGCGAT